GAGCCCACATAGAGGGCCAGTGACGCTCGCCCTCTACAGCTAAGATGATGAACAACAGCTCGACCTGGAGCTGGGCTGCTGTGAGTCGCCGGCAACGGTGTAGGCTGCAGCAGGGCTGCAGTGGGCTACTGTGAGCTGCGTGAGCGGCTGGTAGCTGGTATGAGCTACCGGGAGCCTCTGTGAGCGGCCGACCAATGACCAGCGACTGATTGCCTCACCTGGGAAGAGCACAATGATTATACCAACATGGGCCAGTGAAGCAACGTCCTTCACAACTAGACTGAAGAACAAAAACAGCAATTTGTCTGCCTGTCTGTTCCCCTTCCCTGATTCCCCAATGCTGTTATCTTCCCCCCAATTCCCCAATAAAATCTTTAAAAAAAAAAAAAGTTAATAATGGTGCTCCAAGTAGGGTTAACTGACTTTTATGCTTGAGGGAAGACATTGCATGCTTTCATTTTACTGTTAAAGAATTTTAATTCATTTATTTTACTGCTTTCAGAATACTTTGCATGACAAAACTACCTATATGAAAATTCTAATGTTTTCTGGTTTAGTGACCAGTCCGATTAAGGGACACTATTTACATAATTTACGGCCTACTGTCCTTTGCTATAAATGGAATAACTAATTATAGGCTATTGTTACTGATTGCCAGCTATGTATGGCATTTTTCCGAGTGCTTTTGAAGAAACTGAGGCACAGATAGTTTTTAAATAACTTGTTCAAGGTATATACCTATGTAGTAAATAGCAGAGGAGTTCTGTGTGATTTTAGAGCCTGTGTTCTTTCCATTGTAACATACTTCTTTTTTTTTGGTAGTCCCCTCTTATCCATAGGAGATACATTCCAAGACTCCCAGTGGATGGCTGAAACTGTAGGTAGTACCAAACCTTACACATACTACGTTTTTTCTTACATATATACCTATGATACAGTTTAATTTATAAATTACAGGCACTGCAGCACCGCACGGGATTGACAACAACATTCATAAAGTAGAACAATTATAACAATATACTGTAATAAAGTTATGTGAATGTAATCAAAGTATCTCTCTCAAAATACCTTACTGTATTATACTCTTCTTGTGATGATGTGATACAACATAATGCCTACATGATGAGATGAAGTCAGGTGGATATGCTGGACAAAGGGAGGAATCATGTCCTGAGTCTGATAGTGAGAGATTTCATCATGTACTCAGAATGGCATGCAATTTAAAACTTATGAATTGTTTATTTCTGGAATTTTCCATTTAATATTTTTGGACTGTGGTTGACTGCTGATAACTGAAACCACAGAAAGTGAAATTGCAGATAATTGATGGAACTACTGTTTATAATTTAAATTGTTATTTTTATTTTTTTCAGGTTAAGAGGACAACTCTAGTGGATAGCAGAACATCTGTTACTGATGTGAAATTTGCTCCTAAGCACATGGGTCTTATGTTAGCAACCTGTTCAGCAGATGGTATAGTAAGAATATATGAGGCGCCAGATGTCATGAATCTCAGCCAGTGGTCTCTGCAGCATGAGATCTCATGTAAGCTAAGCTGTAGTTGTATTTCTTGGAACCCTTCAAGGTAAGCTTACACAGCAAACTTCTGATAATATAACCCTAGTAAAACAAATTGGTATTTTTTTTAATTGGGGAATCGGGGGAGGGGAACAGTGTTGGAGAATTGGGGAAGGGGACCAGCCAAGTTATACTTCAGTCTTAGTTGTGGAGGGCGCCAGTCGCCATCTGGCCGCTTGTCA